GATAAGTAAGGTACAGAAGTAAGAACAACTTTCCCTTATCTGGGAAGAGGATCTATTAAACCTACCTGATTTTCCAGATCAAAAGATAGGAGGCACCACTGAAGACATATTAGTGTTTCGACTGAAGGTGGAGGCAGAACAGGGACCACATAATTATTCAATGAACTAGGTTGCTAAGACTAACCTAGAAGGAAAATACTGAGTTAGTGCCATTTGGGAACTCAGCTTGCTATCTTCAGTATGGGATTACATGACAGTCTTAAGACTTGTAGGTTTTTGTGCTATGTTCAATGAATTCTTGTTAGTGACATTGGGAGTATTGACCATCTGAAGCCTGAGTTTGCAATAAGCATCCCCTTCAGAGTTTTACTAAGTAATGTTTTGTTTAGCTTTGGTCCTAAAATTGTCTAGGTGAGCCTGATAAAAACAGGAGGCTCCTAATAATACTGTTACTTGTAATCATTTCCTGTCTCTCCTATGATAGTTATGTCATGCAAACAAGATACGCCCTTTAAAACAGGTTGAGTAGAAGCTGGGGCAGTGGAAGTATTGAAAATGCACATAACATTATTGACTATTGTTACTGCTATATAATTAAAGGGAGAACTGGAAGAACCATATGGCTAGAACTGCATGCTATTTTGCACATTAAAGAAATCTACAAGACAGCCTGCTCCAATTCATTAACTGACAAAATTGGGAAGACTATACTTCTCTAAATGTGTTAGTTTATATGTTTGCTGGTTTACTCCTTTCGTTTTTCTCATGCTTTTTTAAAATGATACATAATTTCTTAAATGAGCAATAATTAAAGCTCCAGGGATATCATTATCATCAACAAAAGATTTTTACAGGAGAAACAGAAGATGATCATCAAATTTTGAGTGCAATTTCCTTATAAAGCACCTTGTAGTTTGCAGGACCAAATTGCTTAAATAAATCTTAGTGTTTTAATAATATTCCTTCTGTAAATCTACTGCTTTCCCAACGCTTTGTATTTTTGTGTTGTTTCTGTTTATTGTTGGTGTTATTATTTCTATTTTGGATTTTTTTAAAAAAAGGTTTAAGAGGAATATGCTGTTTTTGTGCATTTCGTCTCTAATGGAGATAAGAGACTATTCTCTATTTGAAAATGCTCTTTTCTGTTTATTGCTCTTTTTGGGACCACACGCTGAACAACAAAACCCATTATGAAGCACCAGCAGCCACTTTACTCTATTGCTAGTTTGCTAGTTTTTGCATGCTGGCCTCTTTCTCTTTTCTCCACTATGTATAAAAGATGCATAGAGGAGTAGCTAGGCAACAAAGAGTTTCAGATTTTCTTAAGAACATGGAAATCCTATTGTTTTGTAATCTTTCTTCATTTTTATCGTCCCCTATCAATAATATGTTTGTTGTAATCGTTAAGATATCAGGCTAGAAACTAGGAGACCATGAACTCTAGTCCCACCTTAGGTAGTAAGCCATCTGGGAGACTTTGAGCCAGTCACTTTCTCTCAGCCCTGGGAAGAAAGCAAGAGCAAACTGCTTTTGAAATCTTGCTAAGAAAACTACAGGGACATGTCCAGGCAGTCATCAGGAATTGATCCTGACTTGGAGGCACAACATTTGCAAGATGGTTATAATAATTGCAACACTTTCTTTAGTGCAGAAAACTGATGTGTTTAAGTTCAGTAAGACTTTTTTTTTTAAGTTACTAGTTATGACTTCTTTACTTCCTCTTTTACCCTTTCAGGTGTCAATGGAGAAATAAAGTTCTGGCACTTGCTCTTCTGGTAGCCTCAACCATTGTTATTTGATGCTGTTGTAGTGTGTCTTTGATATTGTCTCTCCATCTTCTTCTGGGTCTGCCTTGTGTTCTTTAATCTTCTCCTCTTTTTGTTCGATATAGAATCCCATGATGTCCTCTCCAGCTGAGCAAACCACTTTTATTTGCTGTTTTTGTGTGTAGATTAAGATTGGTTCTATACCATTTGGAATAGAATAGAATAACAGAGTTGGAAGGAACCTTGGAGGTCATCTAGTGAAACCCCCTGCTCAGGCAGGAAACCCTATACCATTTCAGACAAATGGTTGTCAAGTCTCTTCTTAATAACTTCCAGTGTTGGAGCATTCACAACTTCTGGAGGCAGGTAGTTCCACTGGATCAATTGTTCTGTCAGAAAATTTCTCCTTAGTTCTAGGTTGCTTCTCTCTTTGGTTAGTTTCCATCCATTGCTTCTTGTCCTGCCTTCAGGTACTTTGGAAAATAGCTTGACACCCTCTTCTTTGTGGCAGCCCCTGAGATATTGGAAGACTGCTATCATGTCCCCCCTCATCCTTCTCTTCATTAAACTAGACATACCCATTTCCAGCAACCGTTCCTTGTAGGTTTTAGCCTCCAGTCCCATAATCATCTTTGTTGCTCTTCTCTTCTCTTATGGTTCTTTCTTTTATGGTCTCACTTCTGATTTTATTTCTTCTGGTCACTCCAGAAGCTTTCCTCAAACATCTCATTTCCGAGTGGTGGCTAACTTTTGTTTATGTTGTGTTGTAAATGTCCATGTTTGCCCTGGTAACATAGGGTGGAGAGGAGTATGCCTTTTTTGAGATGCTTCTTTGTGCTGATTGGTACAGCCTTATGTTGTAGGAGTGGAGCAAGCTGTCCCAATTCTTGGCTTGCCTTATTTCATCATATGTGAATCTCTTTGTCCATTATACGTCTTTGGTGAAAATGGTTCCTAGATATTTGAACTTCAATACTTGTTTTATGCTTGTACCTTCTATTACTACATTTAGGGTATGCTTTTTTTCCCTTATGATTAGCTGCCAGAGTATTTGCAAAATAATATGTAAATTAACACAAGCTACAAAAAAGTTGCTGGGGCTGTAGAAAGAGTGCAGAGGAGAGCAACAAAGATGATGGGGGGGGGGGTCTGGATGCTAAATCACACAATAAATGGTTAAGAAAAGTGGGTACATTTAGCCCAGTGGTGGCGAACCTATGGCATGCGTGCCAGAGGCGGCACTCAGAGCCCTCTCTGTGGGCACACATGCCATTGCCCCAGGCTCGCCTCCCCCTACAACCCCCTCCTCACCAGCAGCCCCCCTGGAGGAGAGTTGCCCTTGAGCATGGCCCATGGAGAGCAGCGCAGCCAAGGACATGGCAGCCAGGCAGCGTAGAGAAGACTCTGCCCTCATGCCCCATTGCACACAGTTGATGCTGCGGGGCATCGGCAGAGGGCATGGTGCTGCTGGGCTGCCTGGGCGATCTACAGCGGGCCCTGGAGGCGGTAAGTGGCCCTGCGGGCAGGCGGGGTGGGAGATGGGGTGGGGGCGGAGTGGGGAAGGGAGTGGAGCAGGGGCGTGGCCAGTTTTTGGGCACTCGGTCTCTAAAAGGTTCGCCATCACTGATTTAGCCTAATGAAGAGAAGGCTCAGGAGAGACATGATAGCAGTGTCCTAATACTTGAAGAGCTGTCACATGGAGGAGGGCATTTATTTATTTTCCATATCACTTGAGGGCAAGAAAAGAAGCAATGGGTGGAAGCTCGTCAGAGGGAGATTCAACCTGGAAATAAGGAGGAATTTTCTGACAGTAAGAACAATCAATGGAATAGTTTTCCTTCAGAGTTGTGGGTGCTCCATCACTGGAGGTTTTCAAGAAAAAAAATATTGGACAATCATCCAAAGTTCTTCCAGCCCTATAACGCTATGATTCTAAATGATTTTTTTTCATTCGGTCCTCAGACTCTCATGAAACTAATCCAAGCTCTTAAAGAATCTTAGGCTTCCATGGAACAGTCTAAAAACCCTGTTCCAAATGACTGAGACTTTGGACAACACCTATAATAGAATCTTTGGTCCAGGGCTTTCATGGGGATGAGTTAGCACTAGGATTAGTGAGAGTCATTTTCATGTAGCGGTCAAGGTGCTGGCCTAGAAACTAGAAGACTGTGAGTTCTAGTCCCACATTAGGCGTGAAGCTGGCTGGGTGATTTTAGGCAAGTCTCTCAGCCCACACCACCTCACAGGGTTGCTGTTGTGGGGAAAATAGGAGGAGGGGAGAGTATCAGGGGTTTTCACCACCATGAGTTACTTATAAGTAATAAAAACAGGATAAAAATTCTAATAAATAAATAGTGAAAGCCACCACACCACCGCCTGATTGTGTGGATTTTCTTTTCCTTTCCTATTTTTTTTTGTCATTCTTGCCATACTTTATTCTTTGTATTGTCCATTATTGCATTTTTTGTTTTGTTTTTATTGGTGAACCATCCAGACTTGTTAGAATTCATTATCACTGAATACTTTTAAGAATCAAAGGGTGGTATTTTAGGATTGTTATTCTCTGGCAATCTTCATTCTTATACCTGTAAGAACAAACCAGCCCCTCTATTAAAATAATCACCAGAAGCTATGCTTCAAAGGATAATTGTGTGACTATTAAAAATAAGCCATTCTCTCTTTTTCACATAACCTTAATTTTATCCCTTTTAGGCACCCTATGATTTTTTTTATTAAAAAAAATTACCAGTGGGTAATTTCAGTTTCATTTGATTGATGTGACAGCTTCCCCCCCACCCACACTTATTTGCTTTGAAATTGGGTTAATGCAACTGAACTTGGATCTTTCTTTTCAAAAGGGTTTTACTTTATTTTTACATTAGCTGCTGTGATATTCACTAAATGGAAAAGTAGTACCTAAGTTCTCCTAACAATAGCGATAGCAATAGCACTTAGACATATACCAATTCATAGTGCTTTATAGCCCTCTCTAAGTGGTTTACAGAGTTAGCATTTTGTCCTCAACAATCTGGGTCCTCATTTTACCGACCTCAGAAGGATGGAAGGCTGAGTAAACTTTGAACCGGTCAGGATCGAACTACTGGCAGTTGGCAAAATTAGCCTGTCATACTGCATTCTAACCTCTGCACCACCACAACTCAGATAGTCAGGACACATGATAAACAGGACCTGAAATGGAAGATTATAATGCAATCTGGACACTGAAGCAACATGTTTGCTTGACAAATTTCTCATTAAAATATATATTTATTTCGATTCCTTCTTAATTTGCAAAAATACATTTTTTTATTTTTGATAGATCTATAAAAAGAGAAGTTAAACTAAATTTGCAGTTCTGAATTTATCCTCACTATCTTCAGGATTTTCACATGCAGAAAAGGTACAAACTGTTAAGAGCCAACACTGAAGCGCATATTAAAATAATATACAATTCCTTTCTTGATGTGATCCCTTTTTAATTTTTTTTAAGCAAAGTGTAGAAATGGTAACTTGATATGAAATTGTAGGTGCCCACACACATCAAAAAAAATAATTCCAAAGTGCTTTGGAACACAGTACAGCATCTCCCATTCATTAAAGCAGCAGCACCTTTTACTGAAGCTTTTATGGAATAAGTTGTGCTTCTTTAATGAAAGGAGGTGCTATATTTGTGCAAATCCAAGTAATTTCTTCCTAATCATTTTTTAAGCATGCCCTAATATCAAAAATGCATTTCATTTTGCTTTTTTGTAAAACTGAATTTAGTTTTCCACATTTTGGGGGATTTGCTAAATTATAGCTATAGTCAGATATTTACTGCAACAGATACATAAGGGACAGTCCAGATATTTCTTTGATGTTGTTTTTAAGGCACATTCAGTAAGCATGTATATTCACAATTTCCTTTGGTCCAGGAAAATTTAAGAGTTGAAGTTGTTTATCCAGGTAAGTGATTATGCAGTTTTCCAAGGATATTCTTATCCTGCCCATAGGCGTCTACCCCATGTACTGTATAGATGCTCTGTACAACAACATTATGTCCAGGGACCAACTGTTTATCAAGTGCATTACTGGTTTTAGTTGATTTATTTTGTAAGTTGCATTCTCCAGAACAGCGTGTTTCTGTCATGTCTCTAATCCAGTCTTCTTTGAAGCTGGAAAACAAAGAAGAGGCATTCTTTTTATTTATTTAGAAAAAACAATAGCTTTGGTTTAATTTAGCTACAGTATTGCAATTTTGCCTGGCATCTGAAATTAAAAGTACAACAGGTAAGTGTCATGGTTCTGACAGATGAAACTCTTCAAAAGAACTTCGAGGCATTGTTTACCTTAAAGAATCTTTTATTCGAGAAACAAATTATCGGCACTACATAGTTGAAACCAAAAATTAAATTCCCCTCCCCTGGACACAAAGCAACAAAGCACAATTCCCTCCTCCAATAAACAGTCATAAATCACATTCACCAATTAGCTTGAAGTGCAGGCTTTCTCCCCAGCTCTCCAGCCCGCCAAAACTCTATCAAGCCTGGGCCCAATGAACTTGGGTTCCCACGACTGAGTTATTATTGTTATGACTAGCTGGACTCTCATCCATATTCCCCCTCCCAGCATCAACTAACTCTAAAAGCATTAGAGAAAAATGGCTGCATTTCCATCTGTTGTCAAAGCAAGAACATCCGATGTTAGCAGCATTGACAGTAAGATTGTAAAATACAAGTTAATACTTTTGTAACTTGAATAGTTACAAAATTATTCAACAATAGTTACATTAATTTAAAACCAGTCTAAATGCCAGATGTGTACTGTTTGACAAAAAAAAAGAATTTAGAAAAATGCAATCAATTGCTGTTATGTGCATGTAGAAGTACTTAAAACCATAAACTTTGTTCCCTGAAATGGCATAAAGCCAAGGCATGTTTAACAATTTTAAAATATTAACCAGTTTAGTAAGGAAACATGCCTTGATTTGTGCCAATAAAGATTTTTGTAGGGAAAGCAATTATATATATAATAAGCTTGTTAACTGTATTCCTGGATGAAACTAGAACACATAATTATTCATTTTTTCATTAAGATAATTTGGGTCTTGGAAATGATGAGGAAAAATTTCACTGCCGAATACACAAGGGAGCCAAATGTTTTGCTATATGTGTCTGGGGACAGGAAATTCTAGGAAGCTTGGAAAGTTAGCATGGATTATCGAAACAGAATAGTTCATATGAATCAACACTCATGTTTCTGGAGAAAACTACAGGTAGTCCTTGACTTATGCCCATTTGTTCAGTAACTGTTTAAAGTTATGGCAGTGCTGAAAAAATGAATGTGTCACCAGTCCCTAAAATTCTGGCCATTGTAGCACACACGCCTCCAGGGTCACATGATCGCAATTTGGGTCCTTTGATGCCTAAGCTTACAAGTATGACATCTCCGATCATCATTTATGATCTTCTCTGCTGGCTTCTCACAACAAAGTCAATGGGAAAGCGAGCAGGAAAGCTCAGAAGTTGCTCTGGTAAGTCATTTCCACCTGTAGCACCCTCCCATCAGTGTGCAACCTCTGTTGGCTCAGGGTCTCTCCAACTCATGTGCAGCCTCCACTGGGCTTTCCAAACTCTCCCTCAACTTCCTAGATTCATGTACTGGGCCTTCCAAGCTCTCTCGTTGATTTGCACATTGATTTACTGGGCATCCAACACTTAGTCTGTACTCGCACAGAGCTTGCAGTGCAGCCTTCCCACAGCCCCAATCCCCCACCCCTCTGCAATATCCCCATCCCTCCTGGAGCACATTGATGTTCCCACGTGGGAGTTCTGCCATTTCCCATTTAATGATCCCAGGATCTTGGGGTTATGACGGCAACTGGGAAGTCTATTCTCAACTGCACTGTACACCAGCTTTGCAGGCTTCACACTGACCTTTACTGGAAAGAAACTTTTGCATAATCCACATCTACACAGCCTTCTTTATTGCACTTTCTTCACTTGGATACCTTGGAATTTATTAATTTATTGTTTCTGACATTCAAACACCACTTTTCCAATGGTCTTGGGGAGAGTTGAAGCTATGCAAGAGCAATTACAGGAAATAATTCACTGGATACCTTGTGCATCTGACATTGTATTAATGGATTAATGACATTGGATAGAGTGCTGGATTTTCACAAAATAATAAAAGTCAAAAGTGAAACTGAAAGGGCAACGAGGGAGGAAAGGAATGTACAATATAATTTGAAGGGAAAGGTGAGATTGTCAGCTACATTTGTTTCTGATTCCTAGCTTCTGGAAGGCATAGAAGATCATTTTCAATTTTAAGGTCTGGCAGAAGGCAATAGTAATTCAAACAGAAAGTTCCCTCAGTCACAAATTATTTTAAAAACCTTTGGTGTTTCCAGCCACTGAATCTTCTATCTTTCTGTAACTGATTGTAGAACGTTGTTTTTCCAACTTGGCAGCTTTCAGAGGTGTGGACTTCAACTCTTAGAATTCCTAGGTCAGCATTAGGTTGCCAAGTTTGAAAGACACTTCCCTAGAAAGTTCTTTGAAGTTTTATGTCAAAGAAATAGCAGGTAATACTTTTGCCAGGATAAAACAAAAGAAATTATTGAAATAATTACATGTTAGGTTTAAAACACTGGCAGACATTGAGTAAATGTCATTAAAGTCGGTACCTTAAAATCTCAATAAAATTCCATTTGTCTAAATCAAATTATCTTGACTCAGTTTGATTATTATAAGAATAAACCACAACTGTGAACAGAGTGGGGACTGGGAAAAATAAACTATCCCTAGGAATGCTATTAAAACATCAATCACAATGTTTTTAATGGCAACAATTACTGAAGATTTCCCACATCTCACTTTTACAGAATTCCAAGGAAATCTCCTGAACAAATCACTTCTATCAGAATACTTATCACTAATAATTTGATCAATTAAATGATCAAATTATTATTAGGGCCCACTATATTTTGAGTGAATTTTTTTGCTGTAAACTTAGGTAATTACACTCACATTGGTGGTTCTGGATCACCAGGTACTCATGATAGATGTTAAAAGAGTATTAACGATTAGATTAAATATAGATTATTTTCTCCCAGCTTTATTATTTGTGTAAATAATTCAAGGTGGCAAACAAGCCTAATGCTCCTTCCTTTTATTTCCCCACCACAACAACCCTATGAGATGAGCTATGTTGAGAGAGAGAGTGACTGGCCCAAAGTCATTCAGCTGGCTTTTATGTCTAAGGTGAGACTAGAATTCACTTAGTTTCTAACCTGGTGGCTTAACCACTAGATCAGTGATGGCGAACCTTTTAGAGATTGAGTGCCCCAAAACCACCCCACCCCCAGCCCACCTGCACTCTGCTCCTGCCCCGCCCACCTGCAGGGCCACTCACTGCCTCCACAGCCCGCTGCAGCAGATCGCCCAGGTGGCCTTGCAATGCCATGGCAGCCATGCCCTCTACCCGCACCAGCATCTGCATGTGATGGGGCACAAGGGCGGAGTCTTGTCCCTGCTGCCCAGTTGCCATGTCCGCTGCGCTGCTCTGTGTGGGCCGTGCCTGGGGGAGACTCTCCTCTGGGGAGAACTGCTGGTGAGGAGGGGGCTGTGTGGGAAAACAGGGCTGGGGCAATGGCGCACGTGCCCACAGCAAGAGCTCTGAGTGCCGCCTCTGGCATGCATGCTATAGGTTTGCCACCACTGCACTAGACCAAAGTGGTCATCTATATTACCTGGAATAGAAGACTCTAATGGGAATTTGATCATATTGAGCAGATATCTAGGGGTGGTACATTTTATGAATATTTCAACTCACTTTGGCTTTATTTTCATAATTATTTTCCTTAAAACTTCATTATTCTCTTGCAGATGGCAACTCAGTCACAGATTGTGTGAAACTGGAAGGAGTGATTCTGATGTTGGTAGGACTTTGACAGAAGTGGCAAAGTAATCATAATGTGGATAATTTAATCTTAATAGAGAAATTAATGCAGGAATCATTAGTGTTGAGAAATATAGTTAAACCTAATTCTTAGCTACAAAAATTAGAGAAATGGAGTGACCAACACTGTTCATTTGATTATATCACATTCATTGTTTGGAAGAATTCATTAAGGTACATTAGATCCTGTAATATGCCAGCAATTAATTAAATTTTCACCTTTTATTTAGCTTACAGCAATCAAGCAATGACTATGGAGTCTAGCAGCCCAGTTTTTGGAAGCATCTGTGAGGAATGTAAATTTGAAAGTACAGTGGATAAGTGCTATTATTTCAACAGTAGGATGACTTCTTTGTACTTTTAAATTTTTAAGTATTTAGTTTATAGGGAATGCATCAAAGCAGTTCAGGTTGGGCATTTTATTCCTACAAATGTATATGAATAATTGTATTTAAATGGAGAGCTCACTTATAGGATTAGCAGTATACTTTGACAGTTTGATTGGTGTCTGTAGTTTTGGTCTTATTTTGTATCTTTTTAAAAAAGAAAAGAAAAAATAATACAGTAAGCACCAAGAACATTCAGAAAAATCCCCTTAATTTTCCTTTGTTATTATTGTTTTTTGCCAGAAGGGATAATAATGTTAATAGCACTGGCAATAAAAAGATGCCCGCACAGTTAAGACATTATTAGTGTGGTCATATATTTCCCGACAGATGTTAAAAATGGCTTTGCAAATAAATTTCTTCGAAAAGGGAGTGGAACAAAAATTCTTGTTCCAAAATATACATTTTAGTGGCAGTAATAGATTCTTTATGAGAAAATATGCACAAGGGAACACAAGGTTTGCAACATTGTTATAATAGTATATAAAGAAAACTGAATTACATTGCATTACATATTGTTTGACTCTGTTGTCTTAACCAAAAGGAAATTACTTAGACTCAAATGAGTAAATGCACAACAACTTGAATATGATTGATTTATTTATCGTTTAATTCAAAATAGTTTTATGCTACTCTATATCCAAAAAAATCAAGGAGGTATATAAAGTGTAATTAAAACAAGTCCTAATAAAGTGGACTCCATATTATATAGTCCTTCTGCCTGTATATGATTTCAGCTCATTTTAGAAACAGGCATAGATCTTTGCTATATTACTTTCAACTCTGTCATATTCCATACTGGTTGTTCATGAACCTAGAAGGACTTC